ATAAAATATGTACGCCGAAAGACGCAAGCAATTCAATTACCTTGGATACCGGGAGCGGGAGACCCCGATACGCCCGGAAAAAAGGGACGACTTCCTTCCTTCCGCTACGAGGCCGCAATATTTCATCCCCCCCCCCCACCCCTCCGGCGGTTATCGGCATTCGAGGCACGATCGTAAGTGGTTATCATTAGGGTACGTAACTGCCGGTGTAATAATTTGTTTTGGAGTATTCAAAGACAAAGCTTCAGGCTTCTCTTTATCGTTTCACCAACTGCTGCGATCCTTTCGTGATTCGTTAGAAAAGAGTTACGGAACTTACCGATAAGTCTTGCTGAATACACGGGCCGTGCACATTTTTTAAAACGTACGGACACGAGTGAAAGCAAATTCGTAGAGTTGAAACTCGCAATAAGTACAATAGTATGACAGTTGCTGAAGCTTCCTGCATATTCGATAAATTATTAAGCAGAACTCATTAGAGTTATCACTGGACTACGAATCTTTATGCATTACTGATAAAAAAATGAACATGTCAAATATGCAATAGTCAAAACTTTAGTGGAATTTAAAGCGAATATTACATTTTTTGCAACTTGCTAAAATTAATACAATAGAAGAAGTAATAAATCTATGTAAAATACCCACTTGTTTGAATTAATGCAGAGAATTTTCATTTTGCAGACAGATTCACAGTCTAGTTGTCACGATGCATTGAAATCGTGCACAAAGATTTCACGAATCACTTTTCTTTATTACAAGCTTTTAAATCTCAGATTTATTCGCAATACAGTGAAGTGAGTGTCCTTAATCATAAACCTTAAATAGTAATTCATGGATTATTTATACATTTATATTACATGTTTTTAATAATAATGAGATGTGTATAAGAGACAGGTGTACTTAATCATAAACCTTAAATAGTAATTCATGGATTATTTATACATTTATATTACATGTTTTTAATAATAATGAGATGTGTATAAGAGACAGGTGTACTTAATCATAAACCTTAAATAGTAATTCATGGATTATTTATACATTTATATTACATGTTTTTAATAATAATGAGATGTGTATAAGAGACAGGTGTACTTAATCATAAACCTTAAATAGTAATTCATGGATTATTTATACATTTATATTACATGTTTTTAATAATAATGAGATACATGCACACGCTTCGATATTGGGTTCAACAAACAAAACAGATGTGGTGGTTCGTAGAATCAGTTTGAAGCTATTAAATTGCTAATATAGTTTGGATCTTTGAGATTCGTAAAGAGGACATTGCCAGACAATGTGATCAGTATCTTGTTCGCTACTATTGTATGAACATCTGGGATTATTCGATAAATCTACTCGAAATAGGGAGAAGGACAAAGCTCTGCAGCGATTGATCATCGCAATTAGTTGGCGGGGTAACTTTCTGTTTTTGAAAGCAAGGTTTAGATTTATCGGTATACAAATTTTGAAAGCAGTTTTTCCCTTCACTCGTACCAAATTCAATAATATAGGCTTTTGTGTTACTGTTCATAATCCGCAACAAGTCTTCGCGAAAATCCGTGAATGAGAATTTGTACATTGGAGTTTATATTTGTGTTACTCATTTCTTTAGCAAGAGAATCAGCTAGCTCATTTCCAGTAATGCCAATATGAGAAACAATCCAGTAAAATAATAGTTTAAATAACAGTTTAATTTATTTAATTTTAATAACAGTTTAATATATGTTATGAGCTTATAGGAAGTTAGTCAAAAAATAAAGAATAGAAGATGCAAAAAATGTACTAATCGAGATAAAAAAAAACATTTGCTGTATAATAATGTTGAAGGAATATAGATAGATGCTTAGGTCGTAAGAATCGCTAAAGTAATTAAGTTTATTGAATATGTTATTTATATGTTCGATGAAAATTGCACTTTTACTCAAACCCAATTCTAACGTAGTTCAAAGCGTGAAATCGGCGTTGTCCGATTCGATGCAATTCGTGGCTCGGTACAATTATTTCACCAGGATTTTCACCTGGATTTTCACCTGACGTCGCGCTAAGATTTATAACGTCTGGTGTTACTCGACGAAAAAACAAACCCCTCAAGAATCCGCGGATCCTCGACGCGGAACGAAAAAGCACGATGATTTATACTACCGCTATTTTCCCGCGTTGCGTGAACCATTGCACCTTTAACCCGACAAGTTTTCGATCGCTTTCGAAGACAGATGTTCGTTGGACTGGGCATATTGAATTCCAAACGGCGAGCGATGTTCATTTAACTTTAGTGAACTGATAGCGATCGGAAGCCGTCCCTGGGCAATTGAGTTTCCGAACTCGCATGGGTGGATTGATGTACAGGTAACTCTAAACGCAGGAATGCTTATCAGCACGTGAAGAGTGAAAGGAGAAATTGAACCTTGCGGTAATCTATCGTTAGGCAAATACATACCCAATCTTTCCATAAATATGTAACAAGTATCGATAAGCTTTAGAAATTTGGACATATTTTATTTTATCAAGTAAAACTTCTTTGAACGTATGTTATAATGAAAATCGCTGAAAATCGATAGAAATCTAGATAAACATATTTTTATTATCTTTATTAAATAGTAGTCACTCTTATTTTATTGCAATACACTAATCTTTCGCTAGATTTTGAAATTCGTTTTTATTACGATATATGCAAAAGAGTTAAAGTAAAATCTGTTTTTGTTTCATTGATTACATGACTTTACTTTCGTAAGCATTTATCTGGTTGACAATGGCCATTTCACGTGTTTCGTAAATAGTTATTACACTCTGAATAGGTAACCGTTTCCCGACAATACATTCGCTTTAACGATCAACAACCTGACAAGTACGGGAAATGGAAAACGGGGCGTTAATAACTTTCGAAATAGTTTTATCGTTTCGATCAGCGATAAGTAAATTACGTTTCTTACTCAAGTATTTATCGGCCCGACCATTGCCTCTTCTCTCTCAATTTACGTTACAGTGACGAGAAAATAGAGCGCGCGCAGGCTTTACGAATTACAGAGAATTTTCCAGGCCGTGGAAACCATTTGTTTGCAACGACAATTTATTTCCTATTGTACGAAATTATAAATTGCGTTTCATTATTCGCCCGGCACACACGAAAGTGTAATATTAACCGGATTCACGTTAATTAATCGAGCGTGATTATTCGTGCGCTTGACGTTACACATCGAGACACTTTGTAATTGCTTATTTCCGGTTTCTCGAGAAACTTCTGTGCAGGAATATTATTGCAAATCACGTCTATTTTCACAAATGAATTTTCCAATTAATTCAAATTAAGAACAAATTGACACGTACTTTGCACGAATTTTGAATACAATATAGTATGAACGTTCTTCCCCGCACTTTTTCAAGGATGTAATTGCTCAATGCTTCGTTTGATTTCGTGTAAATTCGCGGGAAATATAATCTGATTTCTCATTTCTCGAAAAACAAACGATATCGGTGGATCGGGAACATTGCAGGAAAATGATTTCGTCCCGCGATTTGTAACGATGTTATCGGATAAACGCCGGTAAATCCATTGAAAACCATTCCCGCCGCCGAGATTTGTCGGAAAAGATTAGATTGACTTAAGCCTCGAGGAACCGGGGAAACATTCGAGAAATCCAGACAACGAAGTTCCTGTGGAAACTTGAAAGGGAACGAACCCGAACCTCGGAAGACCCGCAAGTCGAGATGATACCTTGATTACTTAGGCGGTGGGAAGTATTGATTTCATCGGGCGACGCAATTCACGGGTTTCCGTCCCATTAAACGGCCGGCCTAATAGTAGCCAAGAAGATCCACGAAGAAACTATTTCGTTTCCCCCGCGACTGTTGTTCGGATTGTTTGTACAAACTTGAACAACGTCGACAGATTCGACAGCTTCCGGTTATTTTGATCTTCGCAAGACTTTTCACGGTAGATGCAAGGTAGAAGAAATTTTGTGTTTTCTCGTGAAACGTTTATGCTTCAATCTTACTTTGAACAAAGGTTTCTGAAACATCTTATGGTTTCTTTCAATCCGTAATATCGTTTTCCTTAACTTTAGACATCTATGTACTTCTGAACACCAGTACGTGTCGTGCAAGCTTTCCTAGAAAAAAAAACAATTGAATATTGGAGCATGGTCAGCACAGTCACCGTATGTCCTGTGCAGATGTTACGTATTCAAGTTGATAACGAAATATAGCGTCGAACACTGCTATCCGACAACACTTCATTGTCCGTTTCAACTGTCTGCGGTCAAATTTGTAGCTTCTTTTACAGGAATCGAAGAGAAATACTTTTTTACGTTGTGTAGCAATCAAGATCTCGCATTTTGGATAATGTCAGATTAATTTTGTAGATATTGTCAATCGCATTTTATGAAACAAATACACAGAGTTGAATGAACGAAGACCGAAAATTCTTAGCGAAGAACATAACGAATGATAATATCGAACGCGATAATCTCAATCACATATTTTTTGTTCGAGCGATTACTTTCTTTCAAACGTTCGTACTAGCGCATCATTACTAATAGCACGCTCGTCGCTTTATCGTATCCAATCATCCTGGATCCAATCATTTCCTGTGCTCACAGAAATACGAACACAAATACATTGATTTCTGTAATAACCGAACGAGAAAGCTTTGCAAACGAGTTGGAAACGCATGGAGCAGCGTGTCGACACGGTTCTGTAATTGAATTAATGAATCAGCGTTCCTCGGTGCAGGGGAATTCAGAGAGACTTTAATTTGTCTGCAAGCCGGTCAGGTGTTAATTTTTCCGAATTTTCCAAACCGATGAGTTTACAGCATTTGAAACAATGCAGCGCCCGACCAGTTTATCCAGTTCGCGATACGTCACGACGTTTCGCGACGAGAATAGAAATAAAAGCGCTCGCGTTTCGACAGCGATTTAGCTGGCGCAGCCAGCTGAATGATTAGCTCCTCTTTAATCGACGCGACGACGGCTTAATCGTGCCACGACGACCCGTTTCAGGTTTGGTGAAGCTACGAGAGCTCGTCAGGTCGCCGAAGTCTCGGGAGATCGAGGTTAACCTCAGGCAGGCCGACCCGGATTCCTACCGGCAGGTTCTCTCCGAGATGAAAAGCAAGGAAATACGGAATCTCATCGTGGATACTAGACCGGAGCACATGCATCATTTTCTACGAATGGTAACTGCATATTCCTCTATCGATTTCCTGCTTTCCACGGGTTTCGATAACCTCAAGCGCGTCTACAATGTAAATATATCCAAGATGTTACCCATTCCCCACGGGTAATATTACTTACAATATTTACTCCCGCGGGAGGTGCAGATTGTGGGATATCGCTGTTCTCCGCTAACGTCTGAATAATACAATACCCTGGAAATTTTATTTCATTCCTCGACCGCTTACAGTAACTGCTCGAACGATTCGCGAACTCTCGTATGAGCGTCTAATCTCACGCGTCATTTGTTACTATAACTTTGGGAGTAATTGTTGGATCATTGGGAACATTCGTGCCCGATTTCAATATTACATCATCGAATTATTTATTTGTACAGTGCCCGAAATTTCCATAAAGCCACCTGATGTTTTGGTGAAATCTGCTAATTATTCCATAGCAATGAAACAGTGGTACACGAATAACACTTTAGAATTAATATAAGAAACCATATAGATGATTACATTCATAAATATAATATTTATTTAGGAGCAAATGTAACGTTATATATTGCACCAAAAAGCAAGTACGAAATTTTCATAAAGCCACGCGAATGATGCTACACGATGAAATTTTCAACATGCGCATTAGTTATCGAAATCTACAAAATGCATTTTTTTCAATTTTCGTTATAGATTCAGATAAAAAGTTAAAAAACAATAGCTTTTTATTATCTTTCGTCACTCCAAGCAATGGCAAAATGAAAAAGAGTATTTTAATCAATGTCTAGTATATATAAACTAGTCCCTCTATCATCTAAAAAGAAATTCTAGTCATTTAGTCCCCAGACTTAAAAAAAGTTATTCCGTTTTTAAAGATGTCCGAATATTAATAGGTGTCGCTGTATATAAGTTACCGAGATCTATAAAATGCATTTTTTAAATTTTCCATGCAGGCTCAGACAAAAAAGTTTGAAGGACGTCATTTTTTAATTTTCTTATCATCCTAATCAATTTCTGAAAACGATTTTTTAACCATTGTCTCGTAAACTAATCCATCTAACACCTCAACAAAATTTAGATCGCTTGGTCCAATTGTAAAGATATTATATTGTTGTAAAAGGTAAAATATGTAATATTGCCCTGTTACTTTAAAAATTGTATATTTTCTATAATTAATACCATAATAAATAGTAAAAAATATTTTTTGCAATTGCAATCATTTTTATCAGATGATCTTATCTATCTACTATACACACATAAAAGCTCATTTTCATCGTCTTGATAGCATAATAGTTAAAATTTAGTGAAGAACGGTTGACACATTATTTTACTAAATTTGTATGAGTCTCTGTTAAAAAAAGGTCTTCACAGACCACTTTTTTTCGCAGAGTATACTATTCGAATTTAAAATCGTTTTTCAGAAGGTAAGGTTACAGTTTTACAATCATACTTATGAAAATTTGTTATTCAAAATAATTGAAAAAAAAACGAAAATGGACCTTCTTAAAGCTTCTAACCGTCAAATCAATTATATTAAAAACGGTTACACATTGTTTGTTTCGAAACAGTACATAAAATGTGGTATCATTGTTATAAATATCTCAAAACACAATCTCAAAAAGGCTCGAGAAGAAATTATCCACACAGTTGAAAGGTTAAAAAACACACGGTTTAAACTGTCTCAGATCAAAGTAAACACTGTGAAAAGGTAACTTGACCATTTTCTCACACCGCATCGATAAATCCGTGTGAAAGTCGGATCACCCGCTTTATTTAGTTCATGTCAACGCAACGGGATTGCGCCGACAAGTATTCAAAAAGTAATATCGGTCGGTAATAAATCGTTGCGCGTACTTACTTTCAGATCCTGCAGCTGCAAATGAACGACTACAAGTACCATTATCTCTTCACGACTTTCGTAAGTACCATCGACCGGACGAGAAACGGCCGAAGTCGCAGCAACTCGAAAATGAGAGCTCGTCTGCGCCTTTTCCAGGATATCGAGACCTTCGACCTCGAGGACTTCAAGTACAATTTCGTCAATATCACTGCCTTCCGTCTGGTCGACGCGGAGGACGTCGGTGTGCGCGGTATACTGAGGGACATGGAGCGCTACCAACCATCCGGGAATACGATCCTCAACAAATCGAGAGTTATACAGGTAAGATTTACGTGAGTCAAGACCTTCCGGCGATCAAATAACACCGTCTCAAATGTTTGCCCGATTCAATGCTGCATGGATCCTCCGGAACTCGTCCGGGTGAAACGTGACGAGTTTACTTCTGCTCCTGCGATCGGTTCGCTCGAGCAGAAGGACACGCAGGATATCCGAGGATACAGATATGAGGCCAGATAAATAGATTTATCGATTCACTGATTACAAAACTTTAGGGACAGTATATTCCCAGCCGTGTAATATAACAGTGCAACGTAAACGGTCACTTCTTTCGATCAGCCAGCTGTGATGTTCTGTCCCCGCTGAGTCCTTAAAATGGTAGTTAGCTTGCTATTGACATGAACAAAACAAGTGCTTTTGGCAACTGTAAGAAACATAGGCTGCGGATTTTTATGCAAAATTATCTGCTGTCGTTGCAATGTACTGGAACCAAGTAATTTATTTTTTAATCAATCAAAAAGATTAATGATAACGTCTAGTGACGAAATAAATAAAGAGAAAGCAGAGTTTCATCTTAGGCTTGTTAGAGAATTCATCATTAATAGTTCCTTCGTGCGCCCTTACTTAGATTCGGGGATATTTTGCGAACGGTTAAAGAGAGAGAGAGAGAGAGAGAGAGAGAGAGAGAGAGAGAGAGAGAGAGAGACAGACAGATTTTTGTCAATGGTCTCACTTACAACTTGGGACAGCTCTCCGTAGATCAGTAAAAATTTGAATCAAATCTGGTTTGCGAAAGCGTTCTTTCTGAAACCTTTGACAAATAATTACCTATAGACGTGTCCACGATGCGAGTAGCTACAGGATATCTCGGAAAACTGGTGGAGAATGAGGGTGAAAATGAAGTTCATATGATTTGAAAATCTTTGTGCCAGTCAACTGAGCTAATCGGGTATTTTCGAAATCGATATTCTTCCATTCAGTCAATAAAATCTACAATGATTCAAAATCATATAGATGTCCGAACATCGCTTAAATTCAGAGGCGTGTCCGGGATACCCTCTTTGTCTGCAATATTTTTAATAACCAAGTAGTCTCGTCAATTTTTCTTCTTTTTCTTTTCATGTATCTTTTCTCTCTTTCTTCTTTTCTTTACTATGCTCGTTCAACTGAATTTGCATCTTTGTTATGACTAATGAGATTCATTACCCGTATACAATAAATAATAGTAACAACAATCGTAGGTGATGCCGACGCAGTCATCTGTCGAGCAGAAGCGTTGAAAAACCGTGTCTATTTTCCCTACTAAACACCGAAACAGTCGTTTGGTCCTGCGACGCGATACTTTATTGATCGTAAAACGCGCGCGAGTAACGAGGCCGACGTCGAAACGGTGGAACACGTGTCACCTCGCAGCTGTGGATGTAAAACAATGCGATGAGGAAAAAGCCCGCTCGGAAACGGACCGTTAGAGTCCGCGCAGTCGATACCAGGCGAACGTTTCATACAGCCATAAAATAATTTGAAAGCATCCGGGCGCGCGCGCCGGAACTGTGGCCAATGGGCTTGAACGCTGCCGAACAAGTTCGTTCAAGCGCGCCGATGAGGAGGCACGAGCGAAACTAGCAACGCCTGGCTTAACTGCTCGCGTGTCCTCGGCTGTACGACGAGACGAATTACTTAACTAGATGAGAAGCTTAGACGTTCTCTGAAAACCTATTTTTAATATACATGAACGGAAGCGATTGCTAAATGTAGTTGCAACTTGTAGCTTTCGGGAGACGGAAAACAAAAGTAGTGACCTTGAAAAATGATCCAAAATTGTCGTGTCTTGTAAAACATGGTTTGAAGAGAGTTTTGAGATAATTATGCACGGTAAAAGTCGCGAGACAACTTCAAATAAGAATAACTTGAAAAATAATTATCTGAAATTTTATTTCTTTCTATATTCATGATACAATTTAAAGGAATTACGAATTTCTCAAATATTTTCGCGAATTTTGCTCCACCCTGCATATATATATATCATTTTCAAAGTCATTTTCGGTTCGTTATAGTTGAACTTATCAACTCTCCGTTATACAAATTTCTGGTGGCTACATCAAAGGAAGCAGGAACGTCCGAGTCCGTAAAACGAGCATGCAGGATTCAACGTTCAGCTTGCAGACGATCTGCAATTCACGTAGACTTCATTCCTTGGAATCTCACTGGGGGACCCTCTACTACATTATGAATGTTGTAGAATGACTTTTCGCCGCTCCTACCCTTCTACTATTACCAAAACAACGTACGACATTGTACAACTTTGCATCATACATCGTTAAAGTTGCCTAATGAAACGCTATCGCATTATAAATAATGTTGTGTTGATACTGCTACGGAAAAATACGGAATTCTATTAGTTTTTGTATGTCGGTACTAGGTACAGTAAATTCTCTCTAATTGACGCTCAGATTGTGCACAAAAATGGGAAGAGGGGATCCGATTATTCGAGTCTTGCGGCCCGTTTTTATAATTGTTGACAATCGGTAACTATAAAAACGAGCCGCAAGGCTCGAATAATCGTATCTCCTCTTCCCAAATTGCCCATTTTTGTGTACGATCTGAGCGTCAATTAGAGAGAAGTTACTGTATATTGTAATAGCATTGAGGGTCGCTTCTCTATATTCATTTATACGGATCTGTTAAAATCCATCGAGACAAGAATATCATAACCCATGCTATGAATAATTTGAAATTTTGCGTGAGATTCTAAAAATCTGCTATAGAAACATTTAAAATGCTCTAATATAAAGCCGAACAGCGATAACAAATATTCGACGATGTTATTTAAAAATATGACTTTGACAACATATTCGAGAGTCATTGAAAGTAGTGTGAAAGATAAACTTCTAAATAGTAATCATGTTCCTTTTATCAGCACGTAACATGTACTCGAATGAATTGAGAAGCAAACAACAAGTATGCTTGAGTTTTAAACTTACAAGTGAAGTAAATATTTTTAGGGGGTTATATTATTTTTCGACCAAAGCAGGGGGATCTCTTAACCAAATGGCGGATGTTGTAGGACCGAGGCTAAAAACGGATACGCCGAGCTGCGTGTGCTTACGACGCGTGAACTTTAATATTTTTTCTCGATTTACATGGAGATTAGAATGTTGCTGGGTTGGCTCACGCCCTCACGCCGTCTGCCGTCCGAAGACACTCTTGTAATCAGTGAAACACACTTCTGTCCGCGCATGTATGAGGTGAAAATCAAATTGAACACGAAGGTCGTCCTAATCCATGAACTCATCTGTTTGCGCATGAATTTCCCGCTGTACGTCTCTGTCTGCGATGAAATGCAGTCATCGCAGACAGAGACGTTCGTCGTACACATCATGTTTGGTCTCATTTTAATTGGAAGAATCTGACCACACAATATATTAAAAAAAATTTCATCAGTAAAAAAATTATAAATATAAAGGTTAAGTCATCGTTTTTATCCTAGCATTTCTATGTATTCATATTAATGCACACCGGCATGCTGGCTGCTGCCTTGTTTTGCCGACTTCCCCGAGCTTCGTTCTCTCCCTCCCACCCCCACTCTGTCACCCTCTCACTCTCTCTTCCTATCCCTCCCTCTCTCTCTCTCTTTCTCTCTCTCTCTCTCTCTCTCTCTCTCTCTCTCTCTCTCTCTCTCTCTCTCTCTCACTAGACTCGAATAATCGCGACTGAGTGTCCTCGGATTACCGCGTTTTCAATTCCAAGCTCCGATCACTCTAAGGAGAATTTACTGAAGTATGTACAGTTTTCTAGTTTACGAATTTGTTTCCATTCCATCGCTATAGAAACGATAGCTCGTGATTATTATTATTATAGCATTACGCTTTCAAATAGGTATACTGCATAATAAACACAAACTAGGAATGGCTAGTGGACGAACAAAAAATTAGCTTACCAAAAAAGGATCATCAACGTATGTGTATTGCTTAATAATAATATATTGCCGCTTTGAATTTGAAACCTCCAGAAGGAGGTTCGCCAGCATTCTCGGCGTGACGAAACAAGCACGTTGCTAAAATTTCGGTATAATTTCTGATTACCTGCGGTGTTCTGTGGACGGGGGAACGTCTGTATCTAATAACGCCAAGTCCCCTTGCTGAAAATGCAAACGTGTGTCAGTGTTGACTCACAGACACCTTATTATTCCAGACAACGCGGTTCGTCAAGATAACCAGATTCGCGTAGAAATGTATATCCCTGTTCCGGCGCTCTCGGACCGGTCAAAACACCGACTTTTTCCGGCACGTTCCTTTCGCGTTATTATACATGCAAACAGGCCCGTGAACCCACTGCGATGCCGCGCCGTGAAAAATGATAATAACCGCGGGGGACTCGATACAGCCGAGAAATCGTCGCTAGAAATAACATCAGGAGCGACGCCTTTTCCAGCCCCGAAATCAAATAAACGCGCTGCCTTATGTAGCATATTCAAGTTCCCCGACGTTTGTTCGAAAGCGTTCTTTTCCTATGAGAACTCTCCGAGTCCCTCGAGACATTTCATCCTAGTAGAAAATTGCTAGACTCGCGGAATGTGCCGTCGGGCACTATTACCGTCTTAATAGAAATTTTATTGTTATATTTTCGGTCCTTCGAGCGAATGCGAAAGAGATGTTTTTCACAGAAAGTGAGGCATTCTTCTGAGTAGTATCAATTATGCGAAATGTAATTGGCCATTTCGAGCTACAGCCGCAGTCGATCATTTTAAGAATTATTTAAGCCGTTTGGATTTTGTTTGTAAAAATTGTGTTTGGTACTTTTCATCAAGTATTTGATTCTTCAAAATTAACACTGTTAGGAAGACACACATTTAATGAATATCTATTGGAAACATGTTCAAGCCTCTCGAGAATTAATTGCATCTATAATGTTCCATCGAAATTTGTTTACATCTAGAATTTATTTATGATAAATAAATTCTCACGTTCACCTTTTCTTAAAACATTTTTAAACGCTGGAGTCACCATGTTTTTAGGAGATTCGAGCGTTTAGAAATGTTCAAAGAG